ATAATCTTTTATAACTAAATGTAATTTAAAGGGTTTTTACCCTAGTATTTTGGTGGCTCAGGCATTGTGACCTAGTAAGTATAACCATCTTTTGCTTTTCAACCATAGTCAAAATTTCATAATCACGTTTGTTTTAACTAAATGGTTTATACTTATTTTTAGGCATTTTTCGATTTTAAAACCTGATGATGGATTGTGTGGTCCGAAAACGTTTGTTTTATTGATGTAGCCCTTTTAAGGGTTTTTTAAACTAAATATACCCATTTACGAAGACTAACCTCTTTTTTTTTTAATATTGTTTATAATTTGCGACTGAAATACCGGTTACATTTTGGATTTTATAATATAGGTACTCGTTGAATATAAAAATATTTTAATTATTTTTTTGTGTTGCCTAATTGTTCAACGATGATGGTTTTCCAAAACTCGAATAATTGTCTATTCGCGAAACGCAGATACTTTAAGTTAATTCTGCAAACTTCCAACAGTTGGCTTTGTGATTTGTTTATTGTCATTGAAAAAGCCAGAAGCACGAAAAATTGTAAATGTTTGAAATCAGATGGTACTCAATGGATGACAGATGAGATCCGGCAACTAATGGACAAAAGATCATACAAAAACAAAAATGTAAACGAATACAAAGCCACACACAAGGAGATCAGGATAAAAATACGGGCAGCTAAAGAGAAGTAGTACAACAATAAATGTTTAGAGATAGAAGAACTCCAGAGAAATCATGATAGTTTTGAATTGCACAAAAAAATTAAAGAATTAGCAGGTATAAGACGGTCTAACAATAGTAACACCCTGGTTGATACGAATGGTAAAATAATATCTGATATCAAAGGCAAACTAAACAGATGGAAAGAATACGTTCAAGAATTGTTTGAGGACGACAGGACACAACAAGATAGCATGAACGATAACGAGGAACATGGTATAGGTCCAAATAATAACTAAGGTTGAAATAATGCATGCACTATAGTGTATTTTTATGTATAGTTGTGCAATATAGCAATAGTTGTGAGGGTTACTAATCCCTAAATAAGGTTGCCAGTGTCGGAGTGATGGAGGTTAACAGGTACTAATGAATTTGCAAGAAATGTAAGATGTTTATTTTATTGGTTATATATAACCAATAAAAGTTTAACAAGTACCTACCTATTTGCAAAATAAAGTTTAATTCTTTAGATAAAATAAAACGTTTTATTTTATCTGAAATAAGTGCATTCCACAAGGTAAGGGTTTCAACAATCAAACATTTAATTCTTTAATTCCAGGAATCTACGACAGTAATTGACTAGATAATTACCTTCTAAACTTATTCCACAGAAAATGTGATAGTGGGTTTTTCCATTTTCTAGGAAGGTCCAAGTGGCGTATTCAAAATTCTTAACAGTTCACTAAAAGTAGGTACTTCAGTTGCAAGGTGCAGTTTATTGTGTATACTAGTATTATGGAAAATTTGGAAGTACCGTGTAAATGCCGAAAAATTGGTCCTTTAACAGTTAATGAAAAAACATTAATATTTAATTGTTTTAAATCATTTACAGACAAACGTTTATGTGAAAGTGTTGAGGAGACCGTTGAGTTAGTTAGCAGTACACTTGGTGTTGGGAAATCTACGATTTACAGAGTTATTAAAGAAGAGAAATGTGGTAGTTTTCAAATGCCACGTAATGCTCCAGGGAAACCAAAATTTCAAATAGAATATCATTTTAAAGAAGGACTTCGACGGAAAGTGCATGAATTCTTCTTTAGACAAGAATTTCCAACATTGGATAAAGTTCTTGTCTCAGTTCGAGATGATAAGGATTACCCAGAAATGAGTCGAAGTACGTTATGGAAACTTTTAAAAGAAATAGGCTTCCGCTGGAAAAAGAATCCCAGAAAGTCTATTTTATGAGAAAGAAGCGATATTGTCCTATAGAGAAGACATTTTCTAAGAACCATAAAGGAAATGAGAAAACCAAAAAAGAAAAATATTTTATCTTGATGAAACATGGATCAACGAGGGTCATACACCAAATAAATTTTGGCAGGATGAAACTGTTACAAGTCAAAGGCACGCTTTTGTAAATAACTTATCTACTGATTTAAACCCACCATCAGGAAAGGAACGCAGGATGATAATAGTACACATTGGCAGTTCAGACGGTCTTGTTGAAGGTGGTTTATTAACTTTTGAATCAACTCGTACCGGTGACTACCATGAAGACATGAACGCTGATGTCTTTCAAGAATGGTTCGAACAAATGATAGATCTTCTTCCTAAGAACTGTGTAATAGTAATGGATAATGCAAGTTATCACTCCAGACTTATAGAAGAACTGCCCACAACCAAGTTGGGGAAAAAAAGACTTGCAGAATTGGCTGAGTTCAAAAAATATTACGTACCATCCCTGATCTATAAGAAAGGAACTTTATTCGTTGTGTGCCCTTCATAAAGAAAAATTTAAAAAATACTAAATTGATGAAATTGCCAAAAAATCGTGGAATGACAGTACTTAGATCCCCACCATATCATTGTGAATTAAACCCGATTGAACTGGTATGGGCACAGATAAAGAGTGAAGTTTGAAGAAAAAATACCACTTTTAAAATTCATGATGTTAAACAGTTGTTTTTGGAGGCCGTAAATAGTGTAAAACCTGAAAACTGGGAAAAGGCAGTAAATCACACTATTAAAGAAGAGGAAAAAATGTGGAAGCTGGACAATATTGCTGATAAAATGATCGAGCCAGTTATTATAAATCTTGGTTCTGAAAGTTCATCTTCTGAATCTGATTTGGATTTGTAACAACTAGCTGTAAGTTTTATATTAATATTTTTATTCATCTATTTAACATACCTTAGACGGTTTTAAAAACTCTTTTTCTCTTTTGTAATTTTTAAAAATTAAAAAAAATGTGAATTTTGTGACTTTTGTTTACATACACATAACACTTTATAACACTGAAATAATTCATTTATTTTTTACAATTATTCAAAATAATTTTTCAATTAATCTTGAGCACGCCCATGGAGTGGTCGAAGGTACCAGTTAAAATTATGCTAATTACTCTCTCGTTCATAAAAATAAAACTATAAATCTGTCAAAATCTAATAAAACTGCGGGGCCTGACACAATTCCAACTGAGATAATTAAATTATTATCAGAAGATCAGATCAATGTATTATTCGACTTAATTACCTACTATTTAAATGGGAATTAGCCACAATTAAACGTTAAAATACGTTTATTGACGTTTCAATTTCCACTTCGGACATCGTTCTCAAAATACAAACATTAGTAAATTGATTAAATTTAAATTTAAAAAATTCTTATACAGATATTTGAAAATCTGTATAAGAATTTTTTACTTTTTTTCTTCCTTGACTGGGGTACCTACTCCTCAGTAATAGGTTTCGGCTTTGTCATTTGTCGATTATATTCATTTCTTTTCCTGTCGCATTTTGATTTTTCGCACAGTTTTCTCTTGAAATTTATGATAATATCGAAAACTCAAAGAAATAACGAAAATCTTCTAATAAACGGGTCTAACATCGAACAAGTGAACAAATATGCATATCTAGGAACAATAACTGACTCCACAAATGATTACATTCAGATCAAAGTCAGAATAGAAAAGGCTAGATCAAATTTCGACAAAATGATAAGTGTTCTATGTTCAAGGGACACTCTTCTTATAGGACATATATTTAAAAATTTCAACTAATAGTTAGATTTGCTAGGTGCTATGTTTTTCTTACTGTTTTATGGAATGGAATCTTGGAACTTGAAAGCGACATTAATGAAAAAACTGGAACCATTCGAGCTGTGGGTGTATAGAAGAATTCTGAAAATATCGTGGACAGAACAAGTCACAAACAAAGGTCCTGAGAGGAATAAATAAAAAAATAAAAATTTTAAATACAATTAAAACAAGAAAATTGGGCTATCTCGGACATATTACACATGGAGAGAAATATACCTTGCTTTAACAGATTATGCAGGGAAAGATCCAAGGAAAAAGAAGCATAGAGTGGCGGAGAATGTCATTGCTGCGAAACCTGAGAGAGTGGGGTACAGATGTACATCAAATGAACTTTTCAGAGCAGCCGTCTCGAAAGTCCGAATAGCTCTGATGATTGTCGACCTCCGCCGCGGAGATGGTACTCAAAGAAGAAGAAGACTTTTTTCTCACATATTTTAGTTCGATCTCGTTAATTTTTGACTTACGTTTTTTAATTTATGAATTGTCCAGTTTTCGTTTGCGTTATCATTATTGGCACTATTATAGTATTATGAATTTTTCTCTTGACTTTCATTTTTACAGCTTTGTGTCCTAGTATTGTTGTATTAATTGTATAGTATTCTCATGTAGACTTATTCTCTCTACTTTTCAATTACTAGTCACATTGCTGCTCAGGTCATTAGTAAGTGATTTTTTTTAATATTGTTGCAATGCATTTAATCTCCTTATTGTTTTGGTCTTCTTTTTGCTTAATTGTCATCGTTTTTTGTGTTATTTGTATTTACCTTTATTTTCATTTTCACTATATCTTCAGTCAAACAGCATTCGTACTTTATTTTTATTGTTTGCTACCAGTATAATATCATCAAAATTATGTAATTTGATTGGTTGCAAGTTACGATATCCAGGTATTGTATTTAGGTTTTCTTTTTTAGCTTTGAGATTATTTTATATATTTATAATTCTGTCCATTATTATGACAAACAACGATGGGTTTAAACTGTATCCCTGTTTTATTCTTTGTTTTTTAAATTAATTGGATCGTTGGCTTCCCACTTGTACTTTATGACATCTGGATACCTTGTATGTTGTACTTGAAGAACAACTTAATAAAATTATTGTTTAGAAAAAACTTTTCGATTAAATCGTTAATACTTTTTATTATTAATATCATGTTTAAACTAAATTTATATATAATATTATTCATTTCACAAGATTTCGTAGAAAATGTTTAATGAACTTATAGTAAACATAGGTCTAATCAGTGTACTCTTAACCTCATTTCAGATACATTAACATCAATATTAAATAAAATGAAGATCATTTTAATAGTTTCTATTTGGTGCAGTGTATTTATAGTAAGGTAACATTTTTTGTATATTTTGGCAGGTAGGGAATTGCAAACATTGTTATGATTTATTTTTTATTGTAATAGTAAAAACCCCGTAAAATGTTTTAGCAGGACGTTACCGGTACAGATCATGGTTTGTTTTTTAATTAAATAAAAATTTGTAAGTAATGCAGGTATGTAGTCGTATATTATAACGATTTACTATTACCTGGTGCCTTTGACGTTGAATACTTCTTCTTCTTCTTCTTCCTTTTTATATGTAGTCTTTGAAGCCTGTTTCTTATATATTATATATTATAAGCCTCCTAAATTGTTTTAATGCCAATACTTCTTCGTCCATTTGGTAATTTATCTTTTGCTATTCGTACTATTCTATCCTCTGCCATTCTACTAATGTGTTAGTTCCACTGCTGTTTCCGTTTTGTCAACCATCCATTTACGTCTTCTATATTGCATGCTCTTTTTATGTTTTCGCTTCTATTCCTATCCATTAGACTTTTCCCACAGATATTCGTCGTATTTTCATCTCTATCGCTTTTGATGTGTCATGTCTTGTCTATGTCTTGAATGTTAATATAGGTCTAATTGCTGCTTTATAGATTCTTGTTTTTATGTCTAAGGTGTTCTTTCAGAATGAGTCATTAAAATATTTGCCGCTTTACTTGCTTTTAAGCTTTGTTAAGCTTTGTTGTCGTACTTCTTCTTTGACATCTCCGTAACTAATTATATCTATTCCCAGATATCTAAACCTTGCTGCTTTATTATTTTCGAATCAATTTTGGATTTTACATCATAGTGACTATTTAGATGTTGTCATGTATTTGATTTTTTTTGTTGATATTATTATATTGTATTTATTGACTGTTGTATTGAAGATGTGTGTTAACCTTTGGAGCTCGTCTTCTGTTTCGGAGATTAATGCGGCGTCGTCTGCATAACATAATATTTGCATTTCTTTATTCTTCATTTTGTAACATTTTGCTTGTATTATTTCGTCCATTATTATATTAAAAAGAAGCGAACGAGACACCCTGTCTGACTCCGATTTGCACTGGTATATACTGTGTTAGTTTTCCATTTATCTTTGCCTGTATTCGATAATGGAGGTAAATGTTTTCTATGGTTTGTATAATATTAATTGGTATCTTTCTTTTATACAGTAGTATAAAACATAGATATGCTGGTTTATTGTACTCGATGACCTTTTCAGTGATTTGTCTTAGTACAAATGCGGCGTCTGCACAGGATCTTAGGGATCTGAATCCTTATTGTTCATCCGATAAAGTTGTTAGTTTATTGATTTTGTTAGTTAGGACTTTTGTGATAAGCTTAAGTGCGGTGTTTAGTAGATTTATACCTCTATAATTATTGTTGGGATCTTCTATATGCAACGTTTAATACGAAAGCATATTTTTTGAAACTATGTCAATTATCTTCACAGATGTCCTGAATAAGCGGCTTCCACCAATTCATCCTTGGTCTTATTTTCCTACTCGTTTCAGGAACGTGTAAGTCTTCATATTGACTGATTACTAGCTCGATGTTGAATATGATTTAACATTATTACCTATGCTGATTTAGGCATCACTTAATAATGCCACTTAATTTCCTCTTATTCTTGCTCTTATAGTGCCTATCCGTTACGGATATTGGACACACCTGGCTATTTTTACTTTTTGATTGCTACCCTAAAGAGTCCGATAGTGTATTTGTGTATATGTTATACAGTTAGGATATTATTCTTATTTCTGAATTTTTTTCCATGCACCTTACCATGAAGTATGGTCTGAAATAGATTGTATCGTTGCTTATTACGAGTTATACACCCTAGGTATTCCAGTTTGCAACATATTATGGTTATGACTAGTTCGTGCTTTTTATCTATTACGTACAGAAGTTATGCGTTCTATAGCACTACATTTTAAATGCTTTGAGTAAAGCTTCAAGTAAAGTCCATGACTACACTTCATATAGAAGAAAATTTTCTTTATCCATTCTTAATTTGTTCCTTTTTGCCGTTCTACTTCCCGACATATATATTCGTTGTGCCTCTTTATTTTTATTTAAATATCATTCAGTTCTATACGTCATAGATAATCTTATGACATATTGTAGCTATTTTACCATTAATAGGTACCATCCTCTTCGCAGTAGCATTAACATCTTCAAATAAACACTTGAGATACCCTTTTTTTGTTTTAGTTCATCTAAAACTACATTATTAGTATAAATTAAACACAATGAAAATTTACTCTGAGATACTCATATTTTCTGATTCATCATTTGGTTTCTAGAATAAATACCGATAAAGCTCTTAGCCATATACAATTAAAACTTCAAATGAAATTTATCAGTTTCTGTGACACCTCTCCTAACACTACACCCTCATTCATTCCTCTCATAATATTCACATACTTACTGGGAATTTTTTTATTTATAATATGTTCACTCGTGGCAGCTCTATTGCCACAGAAGAGTTTATTTCTTTATTCCTATATTTTTGTCAGCCTTCTTCTTTTCATATGTTCTCACCAAGTAGTTGTATATGTTTGGAGTTTTGCATTGTTGAACTTATTTATTTTTTGTACATTACAGGTACTAATATTCTGTTTTTTATACGACTGGTCTTATTCCACGTTAATAATTATATTAAAAAAACCTTTTGGCCAACATCTTCCTGTCTCTCCATTTACTCAAGATATTATCTCGTTTAACTGGTTTATCTTTTTTTTTTTTAGGTGCCTAACCAGTTTTTCTGTTTGTTATTTGGGTGATTATTGCTATTTTTTTTTTCATAGAGGCTGTCTATTGTAAACAGGTCGTAATTTAAACAGTTGGTTTACATTTTCATGTACATCTTCTATTTTTTATGATACCCATTATCAGTATCATATAATTTGGAGTAGCTTAATAGTTTCCAAAAATGTATGTCATCTGCAACCTAATGTCTAGCAGTCATGCAAGATATTTTTAACTATATAAAGTGCTGATATGATTAAACAGTCCCATTGTACGCAGGTGTCTCTTGACTAATGCATGTAAAGTAAGAAAGACTGGTACAACTAAGCTGTTTCCTTCTAGGTTTAAGCAGTATTTTAGCTCTATTAACAGATGTACTTACAATATACATTTTGTCATGTGTTTGAACGAATATTTTTTTCCAGTAAAAGTTTTGTTATCTTTAATTTCAGGATCTCTTCCAAACATTAAAGATGCCTTTTGGCATTGCTACAGTTGGCTCTGGACCGAAAAATTTTGTACCTGATGCTCTTTTGGCAAGTGCAATATGACACTGTTGTGTTCCGCCAGTCTATCGAGGTCCTCTTGGCATTTCCACACTTGCCTAGAATCCACCTAAGGCCTTATAAGAGGCCCTATGGCTAGTAGGCTATCTGTGCATATATGTATATCACTTTTACGTATCATCTTTATCATATTTTTATTATCTTTATTAAGGTTGGCAACCAGTACAACAAAGTCTAAAGGAAACGTTTTTATACACCAGTCCATCTTCTATAAGCTTGGTGTATGAAAGTATTTTCTTCAGTTCTAATCCAGTATATTATATAATGATCCACGATTTGTTCTTTCTTTCTATATAACGTTCTGATTTCATATTTACCCTGGTAAATAGTTGTAGTTTTCCTATTTTTTGTAGAGAATTATTTGTTATAATTATGAGGTTGTCCTAACTTTAATAATTTTTAACATATTATATGGGTGAATATTCATCCCTGACAACACTTCTAAAACGGAAATACCAGAACTTACCACAAAAAAAGTTAGATAGGTATATAAAGTTAATTAAGTATATATGCTATATTATAGCAAATTACTGAAAAATCACTAGAATATAATAGATCAGCATTTCTATGTCTGATAGACTTTAAGAAAGCATTTGACAGAATAAGATTGAGTAAAAATAACATACTCTGTTACGTAGAAGACGCAATATTAATAATACAAGACCAAGGTAATCTGCGAAGACTAGTCCACAGATTTAACATAACAGCAAAAAAATTTAATGTATCAATCTCAACACAGAAAACTAAAACAATAGTAATCAGCAATAGTAATGAAAATAAAATATCTTGGAATTACACTGCCGAGCTATGAATTCGGTTCTGTCGATTTAAATTATTTTCTGGATTTCCTTTTGTTCCTGCCTCTGTTTTATTTGTCTATCTACGTATATATATTTTTAACAGTTTTGCATATTAATTCTACTGACACTAACAGTAAGGCTGTGAAAACTAACGCTTTTATTTTTATGGTATTAATTTTCAATAGTATCTAAAGCTGTTCTTTAATACCAGGTTTTTTTGTAGTACATTATAATTTACTCTCAATTCCTCTACTTATAAGCGAGTTAGGTTTAAGAAGGTCTTCAGAGCTGCCGTTGGTGTGCCCTTTCTTCCCTAAAAAAGTTTTTTTATTATTTTCATTTCAGATAATATAATCTTCTTAAAATTATTAAGACCCAACCTTTATGTATTTTTGTAATACGTATTTAGATTTTGTCTAAAACTTAGTTTTGCCTTCCGATCACACTGTGATAAACTGAAAACATAACGGCACACTACACAATTTTGTCTTCTATTACGAAGTGGGTGCAAATACGTAGTCGCCATCTACTTTGTATTATAAAAAATAGAAAGACATCGTCAACTGCGAATAAATCGATGATATTTGAATTAGGTCTAATTCACTTATATGTATAAACAACTCTTAAAAATATTCAATCACTTTTAGGACATCCACAGCCAAGGAAGAATTTCCTAAAGATTTTTTATTTGGAATTGCGTCAAGTGCTTACCAGATTGAAGGAGGTTACAATGCAGATGGTAAGTAATTCCTTTGATTTATGAATATACATTTTTCTAGAAATTATATATTACTTTTTTTGAGAACGGCTTCCCGAGTGGAAGTCGAAATGTCAAATAGTCAAATACTAGTTAGTTAAAATTGTAATTTTTATTACAACCAATATTTGTGGCTTAGTCCCATATAAACATAATATCTAAATTAGAAAGTATTCAACTTAAGTTAGATTTACAACAGACAGTCAATCAAATGTATTTGAGAGCTTGGCAAAACTTTTGGAATGGAACATGCTCAAAACTTTATAATATTTACGATATACCATTTATGATATACCTAGAATCGCTACCCTAAACATACCAGCACTTTGTAGAAGTGACAAAGAAGATTTGAACATTGCCGATTACCGCATGGTTACCTGATGAGCTACCTTGGTACCATATCTTTAATACCTGTGTCACTGTGAAACATATATTAGTTAAGTGCCAACTATACACAAACGCTTGAAGATTAAAAAACTGGAGGAAGACCTACAGCCACTTGGTGACAATATTAACCTTAAAAATCTGATAATGTTTCTCAAAGACTGTGAGGTATGCTACGCCATGTAGATATTTTTGCTTTCTGAACATACGATGACCTTCACATGTAATCATATGTAAACCTATCAAAAAGAGAGGAGAATGTCTATATGTTCAATCTAGAACTCAATGGTTTTATCCCTTTCGCATTGAGTATATATCTTACCATCAAAAATAAAAGCAAGAAGACTATATAAAACTCTATTTAAAAAAATATCATTAATCAAATGGTATATACATAAAATTGCACAAATATCTAGTATTTACAAATTTAAATTTGCGTGGTAAATATAAAAAAATTGCTTTACAAAAGGTGAACGAATTAGCGGAAAAACACAGTTGTTTTGAAAACTTAATATTATAAGATGAATTGTTGATATTTATATCACAAAAACTAAACTGCTTGACTACAAAAGAAATCTGGAGTATGCTAAAATTTTGATAAAGTTAAATATAAATGTTCCAAATAAAGATTAAAAATCTCTCCATTCGCGGCACAAGATTCAATAGAGTTCATAATTTAACGTTTTTTAATATAACAGCAACAATAGTGCATATACCAAATAACGGTACTGGATATAGCAGCAAATAGTTTTAGTAACAAATTGTGTAGGTTGTAATTTACCCCAATGGAATGATCGAAAATGACGTCCTCTACGACATACAGCAACCACAATAGTGTTGATGATGTCGGAGCAGTCTTCACCCCTACTGGATAGAACAACTCTTCCTTTCGACTGACAGTTGATTGAGAGCGGCCTTCCACCCCTTACTAACACACCAGTGTCTTGCTTGACTGATGGAATTTGTCCTTTCGATGACTGAGCAGTCTTCACTCCTACTGTATGGAACGACTTGCTGTTACTGACTGAAATACTGTGGTTAGTTCAAGAGTTTTTTCCAAGGGTGATATTTACCAAAGCGATCAGCAATTTTACCGAACGACCATTTTACCATTGTTAAGATACAATGTATGAATGAACAGCCTACTTCATTGCAACATTGTATAAAAACCGTTTATTGTTCAATGGCTTTTATATTTTTATACGCGAAAAATTTGCTAAATATACGAGAAGAATCAGGACTAACAAAAAGCCTGTTAATATTTAAGCAATGGTTATCCAAAGTTGCGAAACTGCAACAGATATTGGTCTTATTATTTTGCTCGCATATATTTTAAACATACAGTAATTCTTGGTTTTGTAAATGTGTCAATGGCAATTGTTTCAGATAAACGTTAATTTAAATAGAAAATAGACATCTTAGACATCCCACAAGAAAGTAGTTTCATAACCTTGTTAAGCAATTTTAATCTGATTTTTATTGCTATTGCCGATTGGGTAATAGTCCAGTCAGGATATTATTTGACCTTTCATGGTAAAATAACCCATATTTTATTATTTTAATCTTTAGGGGGGTCAGTAGTAGTGTAAATTTAAAATCGCGACTGAATTCCTCCGTTACGTCAGCCGCCATCTTAATTTTAAACGAGAACCAGTTTTGCTTAATATTTCTGCCGTTTTCAACTTTTCGACAAAATTGGTAAGAACTGAGATTGTTAACTGTTGAACTGAGTTAAAGGAAAAATAATGGAAGGGGGGCATAATTAACGAATTATCTCGAATATTTTAAATTGTACGACATAAATGTATATAAGGAAAAATGAAAGAATTATATGTTATACAATTTTGATTTTTTTCATTTTTGCTAAAATTAATCTTTAAAGTCGTAGGTTTGTTCCTGTTTATGGTTTCGTTAGGCTTAGAATCTCAACTATCGGTTTTAGCAAAAAAAAAAATGAAACAGATCAAAATTGTATAAAATATAATTTTTTTAAATTTTTGTGTAGATGTATTCATGTTGTAAAGTTATTAATAAACGAGACAATTCAGTAATTATACTTAGTCAATATTATCCCCTTTCACTTGGAAAATAAACCCCCTCTGTGGCTCAGTGGTAAGAGCGCCTACCTTTAAACCTAAAGGTCGTTAGTTCGAATCTCATGTGGGTGGAGAAATTTTCGTTTATTAAAAATTAATAAATGAAAATAATTTCTATCCTTGTGCGATCGGTACTCACCGGAGGGACCGCAGACGTACGGATACAATTAGCGTCTCTTAGCACAGACAATGACGTCGACTTTGCTAAGTATCAAGACAATTACTCTACACACACACACTACACTAGGTACCTGACTGTACCATGCCAATGATCTTAGTTGTCGAGGCATTAGAGAGTTATTAAGTAAAATTTTATCCTTCCGTTATTTTGACACGTAAACGCTATTTTTTACGGTATAAAGTTTTAACGGAAATGTAGTTTTAGGGTTATCAAATGGTGGAATTGGTGCTTCACGTTAATAGTTGGCAGCTGTCAGACAAATGTATTTGACAGCAAAATAATTAATTTTTTTATGTTTTCTTTCATCTAAGGTAATATTTTGTCTTATTTTGTACATTTTGCGTTTCAAATTTTTTTCTACAGAAATATGGAAGACATTTTAGAACAAGCAATATTAGTTGAAGCAAATGACAAAGTTATAGAAGATTTAATACTAATTCATCTTGTAAACATCAACATAAAATCATATTTTAAATAATAACATACAAAATGTACATTCTGTGTTCAATTTTGATAGCTTAGACTTAGAGTCTAAGCAAGCCAAACATTTTTCATATTTTCGGTTTGAAAAACAGGGCATTCCAGAGGGTTGACTCCTCGCACTTCTTTTACTAGTAAAAGGTTATCAGTACTTGTAAAACGCAGCCTTTTTGTCTTTTTTACTATTTCCGTGTTTATAATTGATAAATATGAATGAAATATAATAAAATGTTTTATTTCTCTCGCAGATGCTTAACCAAGAAAACGGAAAACACATGTTAACTAATGAACACAAATAAAATTACACAACAGAGACTTTAATCTCCGAGTTCCGAGTCTTGACGAATTGATGCGATTCGCTGCTAACGTTACCGTATATCAAACCCGTTATTCGACGTACGGTAACGGAGTCCATAAACGTTAAAATCATTTACGTTATTCACATTTCATACTACGCATGCTCCGCTGTCAAAATAACGTTACCGTATTCTCACTCTTTCACTTGATAACTCTCTATTAACTTAGAGATAATAATAAAACAAAAATTCGGAAAATATCAACTGTACGAAAAAGATTATAGAAAATTGTAATTGCAACAATTTAAGTCCTTACAATTTTGTCAAAATTTGGTCAAGATATTAAATAAACACAATTTCAATAAAAAGCTCTTACGTTCGCGCCTTTACCGCATACATACGACCAAAAAATGAAATAAAATCAATTTTGTGTAAAATATAATTTTCTCCCTTTTGGTTAATGTTTATTTATGTCGTAAAGTTAATAATAAATTAGATAATTCAATAATTATGCTTCTCCCACACTTCCAATATTTTCCTCCATAACTCGGACAATATCGATTATTAGATATAATGTAGTAGGATTTAGTTACCAAGATTAAAAAAGCCACTAAAAAATAAATGTCAATATTAAGTCAATATCATACCGAGAATACAAAATTTATGTTTTGAGTTCATATTCATATAAAGTAAGTATTTGATGTTGATATTGAGAGTAAACTACATATTATTACCATATTAGGATAGTTAAACACTTTTTTACTTTGGTTTTATTTATAATTGAACTTAAGATTATTAACTGTTATAATTGAGTGTGGTTGTATTTTTAAAGACAAATCATATGCTGTCTGTTTTGCTTGACAAGTATTTTCAACTTAAACTTAATTTCCTGTAATCAAATGAACTCACCTTACAATGACTAACAGTATCATTTTAAACTTCTTAACTCTCAAAATGTATAATGTATAAGTTTCAATTTTTATTATAAATAAGAATTATAAAAGTAATTTATAATAAAAATATTTTTTTTATTTCAAAGAAAATCAAAATAAGATATTTTTAATTAAAATTGTGTGATTAGTTTTTATGAAATACAATAGAAAATATTAAATATGTTAAATAAAAAATATATCTTGTAATAAGCTATTTTCTTTTTACAGGAAAAGGAGAAAGCATTTACGATTACTATACCAAAACCAGACCTGAGAAGTTTTATAACAAAAGTAATGGAAATACAGCATGTGATTCGTACCACAAATGGAGAGCAGATGTGAGGCTTCTTAAAGATTTAGGCGTACAATTTTATAGGTTTTCAATTTCATGGAGTAGAATTCTTCCTAATGGTTATTCCAATAAAGTAAATCGAGACGGACTGCGATATTATAATGATTTAATTAACGAATTAAAAAAGAACGGTAAATATATCAAAATTAGGTTTTTATTTTTGATTGTTTTTGTATAAAAAATACTCTACATATTTCTTATGTTTGTTGCTTTAAAATAAGTTTTAGCTCCTCTTATATTGTGTATTTTTGGTTAAGTCATTGCTTATCTTTATCACAGCTTTGCTGACTAATTTTTAAACGGGCCATTGCATTTATATTTAAAGTTAAAGAATAGGTGGTTAGGCAAAGAAATAATAAATAAGACTTACTCACAATGAATTTAATTTAACTATCAGACGACTGGTTTCGCTTTCTACAATATGCAAAGCATCTTTAGGTCTCGATACAAAGTTAAATAAATGCTGAAATGATAAAAAAACCCATATTAGGGTGTTGTCTAATAAAGATAAACAAATTAGATGTTATAAATTACAATAATTATGCCAATATTACATGTCTGTGATTTTATTTCAAAATAAGTAAATTGAATAAAAAGGTATAAAAAGTTTTAAAAGTTTAAACAGACAAGGTAAGACTCACAAATTGTTATAAAATAGTCCATTAGAATGTAATAAATTAATAATAAATGAGCAAATAAATAAACATTACTTACATGCTGGTACTTTATTAATTCTCCATTAATAATTAATTATTAATGGAGAACTTAATTCTGCTATTGTAGTTGTTTGACAGTAAACGGGAAGTTTTTAAGGAGATATATTTGATCCAATGTAGCAGATATATGTGTATGATTGTTTGTTAAATGAAAGTGATGTTATATACCATTGTATTATTTAAAAGTTATTTATACTTTTCGAGAGATATATTTATGAAATGTGTGTTATTTATTGAGTAATTGTTTTATGAAGGTAACAGTTTTATGACAATGTATAAGTTTAGATGTACAAATTGTGTGGGTGTGCAATTTTTTTTTTCAACTTGTAATTATCAATTAAAAAAAAATAATTGCACACCCACACAATTTGTACATCTAAACTTATTCATTGTCATAAAACTGTCACCTTCATAAAACAATTACTCAATAAATAACACACATTTCATAAATATATCTCTCGAAAAAGTATAAATAACTTTTAAATAATACAATGGTATATAACATCACTTTCATTTAACAAACAATCACACAAAGATCTCTGCTTCATTGGATCAAATCTATCTCCTCAAGAACTTCCCGTTTACTGTCAAACAACTACAATATCAGAATTAAGTTCTCCATTCAACAATACATAATAGTTTCAACCATGTTCTACCATCCATCAATTAAGAGAGTACCGCCATGTAAGTACTGTTTATTTATTTGCTCATTTATTATTATTTTATTACAATCTAGTAGACTATTTTATAACAATTTGTGGGTCTTAGCTTGTCTGTTTAAACTTTTAAAACTTTTTATACATTTTTACTTGATTTACTCATTTTGAAATAAAACCACAGACATGTAATATTGGCATAATTATTGTAATTTATAAGATCTAATTTGTTTATCTTTATTAGACAACACCCTAATATGGGTTTTTTATCATTTCAGTATTTATTTAACTTTGTATCGAGACCTGAAGGTGCTTTGCATATTATAGAAAGCGAAACCGGTCGTCTGATAGTTAAATAAATTGATTATGAGTAAGTCTTATTTATTATTTCTTTACCTATTTGAAATTGACTCACACAAGCAACACATTCATAATTTCATAATAGGTGGTTATTTCTGGCAGAGCCTGATAACCTCACATAATTAGTGATTACGACTGCATATTGAATCCTTTCCACCAAAAGGAGAATTCATGGCACTTGGAAAGGATCTTTTTTAACGACAACATTTCGTTTTTGAAATTTAAATATTGCCACACAAAATTTGTTGTGTACTTTTTATTATGAGTTTAGGAGAAATTTTTACATATTATAACGTGTTTAAATAAAACCAGCAGTTCTCATTTATGTTAATCTATTTATTTTTCAAGGTTCTTTTTCTTCACGTGCCATATCAGAGTTATCCTAAGTGCGCGATCATCATTGCGAAGTCTTCTTGATTATCTGCCACATTAGTAAAGCTTACAGTACGATATTATCTTATCAGCTCCACTCCTTATAACGGTGGTCCTGTATGTAGCAGTTACATTAATTCTAGAATTTTCTGGAGTAGTCCACCTCTATTCGTCTATTATGAACGATCGCTTCTCCGTACCTCGGTCGTCACATCTGGAACATTCGGCTATATGCCACCATTGCCCTAAGTAATCGGTATATGGGCTAAATTAAAGTTAGCTTTGTCGTTACAGTATAATATTTTGCCCAACAAAGACAGTTATTTTCTTCTCTTTAAGGTCTTAAGGACTTAAATTTGGATGGGATTCTAAATTAGTAGTCTAGTTTTGAATTAATTGTAATATTACAAATGTCACGTCTTGGTTTATATATCTTCAAATAATTATTTTATTCCAATTTCTTTTCACCATCACATTGTGACCAATGTGATGTCTTCGATCAACCTCTCAGATTGAAATCTACCATCAACCTGTAGTATATGTAACGGTACCTCTATTTGCCATACAATTAAAATGAGATAAAATAAAGTATACCAAGTATACCTTATTTACTTGGGCCATATAGCAAGAAGAACATGAACCATGAAATTATTTTTAATAGAAGGAAAGGTAGAAGAACGGTCTTCAATTAAGAAGAAGATTTCCAACATGATGAGCCTACCAAATAAAGACTCTGGTGAGAAAATCCCCACATAAAACCTATACCTGAGAGATGCTAGTAAAAGCATTAACAACTTAGTTGGTATATTAAGTGTCAGTTCATAGTTACTTGAATAATGATCATGGATCGTGGTTTCAGTTGTTTCCATATGATTTAATGATATTTAAATCTGCAATAACATATGACTAATTATGATATTGGAAAGTAAAGGTGTAGGAGGTCTAAGACTGTATGCCCTTGTTGCCAAGTTTTTGATTTATTTTAATCGTTATTATCTTTTAAGGTATTGAACCGATGGTGACCCTATACCATAATGATCTTCCTATGCCTCTTCAAGAAATTGGAGGATGGACTAACCCCTATATGGCGTACTACTTTGAAGACTATGCCAGATATATGTTTAGTTATTTTGGAGATAGAGTAAAATATTGGATAACAATGGAAATGTCTTCAAACGGCTATGGAGATGACAAATATCCACCGTTTATAAACCAGCCTGGTATTGCGAACTATCTTTGCCAACACGTTATGTTATTGGCACACGCTAAGGCTTATCATTTATACGATGCTGAATTTAGACAGAATCAACAAGGTAAGCTTTAAAATTTATACCGACTCTTTTATTGACTTAAAAAATCTAAAAAATAACTATTGACTGATAAAATTTCAGGTAAAATTGGGGTTGCTGTAGATGCTACTTGGTACATACCAGCAATTCTTTCCAAAGATCTAAAAGCTGCTGAGCGAGCTCGTGAATTTAAGGTACCAACAAAATTAATAGAATTATTTTGTTTATTTATTACTTTTGAACAAATGCTTCGTCACACGAATACGTTAACATCATATTACTAATTTTAGAGACCTTGCTAATCATTTATTTGCCTGAGGAAAAATATCTTTAGACTATCCAAGAAGTACTTCCAATTATATAAACTTCAACGTTCAAGATCTTTAAGAATATCTAGTCTTTATTGCTACCTGAATGCAAGACAAAATTATTGTATTTGGGGCAGTGATCTGTTAAAGATGACTATTGCCATAGTCGGTGATAATAACAGAAACCATGCGTTTTTAAAGCAATGTCGCTTGTTGAAAGTGAGACTTTCTGAAATAGTTTGTCAAAATATCAATAACCACATAATAAATAAGTTTAGGGTAAAGTTGGTGGTGCAAAAGAGGTAGAGAATTATAAAGAACAAAAATAAACACTAACAAAAAATTCTTAAAATTTTAAAAAAATAAAGAAGGTTATTTTTTTGGGTTGATATTTATGTATTTTGACAATTAGTGGCTAATCAAAAGCCATTTCATCGCTAAAAAACGACAAAACACGAGGTCCCGACAACATACAGGGCGAGATAATAAAACTCCTATGCGAAACGGATGACAACTTTCTCGATTTTCTGACAGGCCTTTTTAACACCTTTTACGACAAAGGGGAGATTCCGGAGGAATGGCTTCCATCGACCTTTGTAGCCATACCTAAAACACCAAGCGCAAAACACTGTGATCAACACCGCTTAATAAGCTTGATAAATCACATTACCAAAGTTTTCACCAAAATCATACACAATAGAATATATAATAAATGCGAAGCAAATATATCGGAATCACAGCTCGGAGTCCGAAGCGCATTGGGCACAAGAGAGGCGATCTTCAGTCTGCAAGTTTTAATTCAAAGATGCAGAGACATGCACAAGGACGTCCACTTGTGCTTTATCGACTTCTTCAAGGCGTTTGACAAGGTCAAACATGATAAACTCATGGAAATGCTCAGGAAGATGCATATTGATGGCAAGGATCTGCGCATAATAACCAGTCTCTATTGGAACCAAAGTGCTGAGATAAAGATGGGCAACTTACACAGTGGGAAGATAGATATTAAAAAGGGTGTACTACAGGGATGCGCCCTCTCGCTGTTCCTGTTCAATATATACTCTGAATAAATCTTCAGAGAAGCACTGGGAGAAGTTTCGGAGGATATCAAAGTAAACGGAGAGGTAATCAATAATATTAGATATACTGACGACACAGTTATTATCGCAAATGACTGCAACGAACTTCAAAGACTCATGCAAAGCATACACACAGCAAGTCAAGAATATGGTTTAGAACTCAATACAACCAAAACTAAATGCATGCTCATTAGCAGAACACAACAACCTCCGATGCAATTGACATTAAACAACCGAAAAATAGAACAAGTGGAGACATACAAATACCATGGAACCACAGTCAACACAAAATGGGACCAGTCAACAGAAATAAAATCACGAATTGAAAAAGCGCGAAACGCGTTCAACAATATGAAAAAGTGGTTCACAAGCAAAATGTCAATGGAACTAAAATTAAGACTGGTCAAGTGTTATGTCTTCCCGGTCTTGTTCTATGGAGCAGAGGCATGGACCACAACGGAAGCTACCCCGAAGAAACTAAAATCCTTTGAGCTGTGGATATATCGCCGTATTCTTCGGATATCCTGGACAGACCACATCACTAACGTGGAAGTAATGCAGAGAATAGGCAAAAGCAAAGAAATAATCTTCACCGTAAAGAAACGGAAGTTTGAGTACTTCGGACATGTCATGAGGCATACTAAGTATCGACTGCTACAGTTAATAGTTCAAGGAGGAATCGACAGTAGCAGCGGACCGGGAAGAAGACGACACTCATGGATGCATAACCTGCGACAATGGTTCGGACTAACATCGACCGAACTGTTCAGAGGTGCCGTAAACAAAGTCAAAATAGCCAACGTCCGAAACGGATAGGGCAAAGGCAGAAGAAAAAGAAGTTAATGGATATAGTCTAATAAAAGTCCTACACAGCGATCTAGTCTAATAGCAGTGATCCCTCAACACCCCTCCTTTAAATCTTCCAAATTCTAAACATCCAACAGCTCTAAATAAAAGAATTGATATTGACGCCTTGCGTCAGATATATCACTTCTTTATTATAATAAACATTATAAATACGAACCAATTAACATACAATATTTATTTTTAAATAAATTTTTCTTCTTCTTCTGGTTCCTATCCGTTTCGAATGTTGGAAATCATATTGGCAATCATAACCTTACTCGCTGCGGCTCGAAACAGCTCCGTTGAGGTTTTCTTAAACCATGTTCTTAAATTCCGCAGCCATGATATTCTCCTTCTACCGGGTCCTCGCTTATTTTTTACTTTTCCTTGCAATATAGATTGTAACAGGAAGTAACGGTGCTGATTTCTCATAACGTGTCCCAGATATTGCAATTTTATGCGTTTGATCGTAAACACAATCTCTGGTTCCTTTTTAATTTTTCCTAGAACTTCCTTGTTCGTGATCCTTGCTGTCCATGATATTCTCAGCATTCTTCTATAAAGCCACATCTCAAATGCTTCAAGTTTTTAAATAGTGGTGTCTGTAAGCATCTATGCCTCCACCTCGTACAACAACACAGAGAAAACATAGCATCTCAAATGTCTCATTTTTGTATCAAGGGATATGTTGTGACTTTTGAAGATGGCGCTTATTTTGTTAAAGATCGTTCTTGCATTTCCTATGCGGAAAGGCAAGGACTTTATTTCCTGTACATTACTCCACTGTTTGTTTATAATAGTTCCCAGATAACAATACTGTTTTACTAGCTCTATCTGCGTACCATTAATGTATAGATGAGCCCCGTTTATATTATCCTTGCTGATAATCATTTGTTTCGTTTTGTGGGTATTAATGTTTAGTCCGTACTGTTGACTGTACTCGTTTATTCTGTCCATTAGCCATTGAAGTCTCTCTAAACTATCTGCTATCACCATGGTGTCGTCAGCATATTTAACATTCTTTACTCTTTCACCATTTAGAAGGATGCCTTCATCTATTCCGTAAAGAGCCTTGTTAAAAGTTTTCTCTGAGTACATATTAAACATGAACAGCGATAGGATACATCCCTGTCTAACTCCACGTAGTATTTTTATGTGATCTGTTTCTTCTCCGTTAATTTTCATGTATGCGGTCTGATTCCAGTAGAGTTCTGAAATTATTCTGAGGTCTTTGTCATCCAGGTCTGCCTCTTTTAAAATGTTTATCATCTTTTGATGTTGAACTCTGTCAAATGCCTTTCCATAGTCGTATTCATAAATAAATAGTCAAAAATTATGCCATTTTCCTTTTCCAACAAATTATTCCATGAACCCTATAAATTCTATCTTTAATGCCCTTGACAACCGCGCAAGTCTCTACAGCTTAGCCATTAAGCACGTAGAAATAAAATGGACATTCATCTTTAACCCTGTTTAGGTATCTAATGCGGATGCACAATGGTCCAAGGGACCGACGGCTTTCTGTGCCCTCCTAAGCACGGTGACGATTCGGATAATTTATAGTAGTAGCTTTAAATAAGATAATGAACTTTTCTCAAATATCTTGACCCCAAAGGTCTATTTAAGAATTGTTATCAGTAGGAATATCCTTAGGACATTGATAACAGACGCGATAATGTCATGACAATCGAAAGCTCGTTCCTTGGTAACAGCACGAAGCCGAAGGCTGAGCATCGAGCAAAAAGACAAAAGAGGGAATGTAAAGGTAGTGGGGGCAAAAATATTGTTAGACAGGAAGTGTGATCTTTAGAGGCCACTTTAAACAAGGAAAGAGAGTCTCTCTCCTTGTTTGACATCAAATTTAGTTGGGTTATGTAGATGTTATTGTTTGTCCCAAATGTCACATGAAATCTTATTTATATTGAAGTTTTTTAACAATTGTGTCGCATTTTAGACTATTATCGTTAATAATTAATTAAAACTTTCTCGTCTAAGACACATTATGAAAAATATTATATAGCTAATGTTAATAAGTGTCGGAAAATTTAAATTTGGCGCATTCGCATTTCCGGATATGACCGCCATTAGAGGCCACTTTTTTGGTCTCCTTTTGATAAGGATTAGATTCCCTCTTTTGTCTTTTTGCTCGATGAGGCTGAGTGCTGTTACCAAGCAACGAGCTTGAGAAATTTGTCATCAAATTATGAGGCATTCATCAATGTTCGAGGGATATTCGGCGGATAATTTTTCGAATCACGAACAAGGAAGTTCTAGAAAAAATGAAGAAGTAACCAGAGATTGTATTTACGATCAAACGCATAAAATTGCAATATCTGGGACACGTTATGAGAAATCAGCACCGTTACTCCCTGCTACAGTCTATATTGCAAGGTAAAGTCAAAGGTAAGCGGGGACCCGGTAGAAGGAGAATATCATGGCTGCGGAATTTAAGAAAACCTCAACGGAGCTGTTTCGAGCCGCAGCGAGCAAGGTTATGATTGCCAATATGATTTCCAACATCCGAAACCGATAGGAACTAGAAGAAGAAGAAGAATTTTTCGAAAAAAAAATCATAACTCAAATAACGAAACATTTATTTATTAAAAGTACAGTTAGTAAAAGTACAATTAATAAAATTAAAGTTAACATTAGATTCGTTGCTGTTCTCTACTATCTCTAAGTCACAAAACGTGACATTTTGAAATTTATTTGGATGAAGTTGTCAAACTCGATCGTGTTGTCATAGGGATTAAAAATTGCACTGAATGCAATTATCAGTCTAATGTTGACATGATTGGGTGAAATTGTTCCACATGACACAAAATGACGAAATTTGAATGGTTGTTAGAACAGTCGAAAAATTATTACATTATTAGATTTATCATCTTATTAAAAATACGTTATATGCACTTTAAAACAATATGAAAGGTTTTGGTAATTACACAGACGTGCTGTATTTACCAGTACCCTATATCCATTTTGGATGGAAGCACCCTGTATAGTAGTTTTCAAGTATAAAAATAGAAAATGTAGTCTATATCAATGATTGTAATTTGGTTATGAGTTGACTAGATTCATTACACAATTTTATACACATATTTTTTAGATTGGTTCCATTATGAATCCAATTTTTCATACTGATGGCAACTATCCTACTCTGGTTAAAGAAATGGTCGATAATAGAAGTACATCAGAAGGTTATCTGCAATCCAGAATGCCAAGTTTGACGTTTCAAGAAGCCGATTATATACAAGGCACATTTGACTTCGCGGGCTTAAATATATTCACAAGCTATCGTGTTAAACACGATACTACAGGAACAGCTAATACTACCTTGGAGAAAGATGCAAATGTTAGTCTTCACCAGGATACCGAATGGGAGAAGAGTAGTTCTGACTGGTTAAGGGTAAGAATACTTAAAAATATATATTTAAAAAATGTAAACACATAAAGCTTATAAATAATCTTTACTTAATATTAATTTTAAACATTTAATATTATGTTTGAAAGTGTTTAATGCTCTACTGACGAATATCTAATATTTTACTTTATTTTCCAAGTGGCAAATTTGATTATTTCACATAAAAGTTGCAGTTATTATAATCTTATAAGGTTAAAATGGTTGTAAATATAAAACATAAAACTGGAAAGTATATTACTATGTATATAATTTATTTTTTAAAAATTAAATCGCATTTTGATATAATAAAATAAAAACCTTTATAACAACAATTTTAAATTCTAAATTGATTCACAACTTCACAGCTGAAAAAATGTTTTTTTTATGTATGTACATATTTGCACTGCATTGTCTCTATCTCTTTCTCTTTTTTTTTTATCTCTCTTTCTGTATCTCCCCAACCGTTCGTGGATATTTGCTGCCGATCGGTACTCACCGGAGGGACCGCAGACGTTCGGATACAATTAGCGTCTCTTAGCAAAGACAATGACGTCGACTTTGCTAAGTATCAAGACAATTACTCTACACACACAAACACACACACACTACATTAATAAACTTATCTTGATTGAGACTGGCTGAATGACAATTGTCTAAGCCAAAACACACACACAATGTTATTCCTTCAGCTGAGCCTCAGTCGGACTATGGTTCTCCTGCTGATTTGATTTTTTCCTCTTATATCTGTTTAATTTAGAAGGAAAACATCTTTTGGCAACAAAGAGCACAAAATGGCAAATAATGGAGGAGTTTAAGGGAGGCCTATGTCCAGCAGTGAACGTGATAAATGAAGGCTGGATGATGATGGTGATGCTCTGTTTGATGAGTTGTTCTTCATTAGTTTTATGCACATATCCTGCTTACCCAAATTTCTGTTTATACATCGTTTTTAGTTCTTCATTGTAATTCGACAGTGTATGGTTATCAACTGTCAGCCCATATATTTTTATAATATTTGCAATGAAACAGCCTTTACAATAAATCGCTTTGTTATGATTAAGGTGTCTCAGTCTTTTGATACGACTTGTCTAATAATTATTCTGGTATATTATTATCTCATCTTTGATGATGTTGACAGCACGTTTTTGACTTTAATATGTCTTGTTAAGAAGCCTTTGATTACTTTCTTTATACTTGCCCGTATTTTTCTGTTCATGTAGTTGTCATAAGTTGTAGTGGACCTAGATACTGGAATTCTTTGACAATTCCAAAAATTTCTGTGTTCATATTAGTTATATTTTGTCTTATTCTATCTCTACCTCCTGTACGGTTGATACCTTGTGCATATATTTGATTTTTTTATTGATATTTGGTCCTACTTTTTTGTTTTCTCTTACATTTTTAAACATTTCTTGTGTGTCAAAACATAAATCAGTATATGTATACAAAAATCATTTGCGATCTCTGGTCAGCACTCCAAAGCCAAACACTCCCAGCTTTATGTTAGTTTTTTTGTTGGTCATATCTAACACTATGTTAAACTGTATTAATGGTCCATCGCCTTGATTTAAATGTTCTATTGTGTCGTATTTGCAACATTTAATTCTGGACTCTAGTCATCTCTTCCTAGATAAAATTTAGATCAACTGGTTGTACCCAAAGCGACAAAATTTCTGTGAGAAGATTCGACTATTTTTCTTTTTTGCAAGCCCCTACTAGTTTGTTTTATTTTCTCACCAGAATGGAAGTGCATATTGTTAACAAAGTACCTGAATAATATTTTTTCCATAAACACACATACATGCACACACATACAAACGAACATAAACACACACAGACATACACATATTTATTGCATTCTAGTACTGCAGGTCTATGCCTTTTTTTTCCCTTGTTTCTTTGTGGATTTTATATCGTTAACTAGCTGTGATAACACAGTAACTGCTTTCGGTTTTTACAGGAATATATAAACAAAGTGTCGCTATCAGTAAAACTGAAGTGCCTTAAAAACGTCTAATATTTGCAAGACATTTTTGTAGAAGCTTCATACACCCCAAGCTATTGTGTACAGCTAACAGCTCACAGCTCAAGATAGGGAAAGATGGAGAGAACTGGGGGAGACCTATATCCAACAATGGAAGGATGGAGAATAGGTTCAAAAAAAATTCACAATTGGCAGAAAACTTCTTATCCTTGCAATTTTTACAGGAGACTTTGAATTTACTTACTAACGTCACTGTAGACTTTTTACTTAGTTTCAATTTACAGTGGCAAAACTTAGATATCGCTATGTCCTTTAACAACTTTTCAAATATATCAATACTTAAAGTTTCATACTGCCAAGTGTCTTTTGTCAGTTCATAGTAAGACAAATTCCTTGCAGTTTTACCTTTGAGCTAAAGGGCGGAGTTGAAAAAGATCTAGATTTAATTTTAGGAGTTTATAGACTACGTCGAGATGGGCCACGGCTTCTTACAATGTTTAGTTTGTTTTTCTTTGTGTTGTATGTCTTATAACTAGTACCTACTTACTTCTTGTTTTCCATTTCAACACTATAATATATCACAAACACGAAATAATTTAGTATTTCAAACAGAAAACTAACTAAAACAGAACAATCAGCAAATAACTAAGAAAAAGTTGTAAAAAGTTGAGTGCAGATATTCAATATTTAATCATAACCCAAATAAACTAAGAAATTCAATTTTCAATTTTTGTTTGCCCTTAAATTAAGACAGTACTTTTTTCATATCCTCTAAAAGTCTGTCTAAGGTAACTTCTTCTTTAGTAAATTTAAATACATTTCTCGTCGCTTGGGATCCTAAACATATTTATATTTCTCACTGAACTTGCTGTGAATTTAAAATTAGGAGCTTGATCTCCTCCAATTAACGGTCATAAAAGAAAGGAATAAAATTATGTAATTATATTAAATTTGGTTAAGTCCTACGAGGCAAATTCTCGTTTTTTTTATTTCATTGTTCTTCCAAAATAATTTTTTGTTGTTAAGTTTAAAAATTGAATATATAAAGGGTGTGTCATGAGGAACTTTACATACTTTTACCATATGTAGAGTTCTTCAGGGAGCATATCATGTGGCCACTAAAAAATGTCAACTCCTCTTCTTTATTAATTAACAGGGTCATTCGTGTAATTGACCATTTATTTCATTTTACTGTAGTGTTTATACGGCTCATTTGATTTTTTTAATTTTTGCATGATACAGTACACTACTATCAAGCATTCGACTGGTGTTAGCTAAACTAAAAAATTCCAGGACTGGCTTTGGAAAAATTAATTTAGGGATTCGTATTAAATATTACACCCTGTATATATATTTTTTTAAATGCAATAAGTGATTTTCAAACTACATAAATAGCCAATGAAAACGACATATGCGACAATGTTGTCGAACTTTTATTAAATTTTTAGTGAACGATCAAATCTTACCAAAAATAGAACAATCATAATGAAGTATCAAATTATAAGGTATTAATTTAAACAAATGTTATAAATTTCAAACATTTTAATTAAAATGAGTTCCTACAACATAATCTAATACGTAGAAAATTAACATCTTTACTGTCACTTTGTATTATCTCTACGATAGAATTGTTTTTTAATTTAAAATTTTTACTCATAGATCGTATTGGGGCATTATTTTCGATAAATAATAAATTAAATTGATTAAAAAGTCAAAGCTCTTGTATGTTAGGTTTTGTTGATTGTAAATGATTAAAATTTTATATCAAATAATAATAGATTGCATCAACTGTACTAAATAAAAATAAAATCTAAAAAAGTTTAAAATGAAGGTTGGCGTTTACCGTTTGACGTTTCTTAATATTTTATACCATTGTCATTATTGTCATTATCAATTGTTATTTATGTGTACAAGAATACATATTTCTTCTGTCATGTCTACGTTAAGTACATTGTGTTAGAGGTAGAGCTTTTGTTACTTTCGTTCAAAATGCCACATCAGTTTTCGACCACAGAATACGCAGACATAATATTTGTTTATGGATTCTGTAATGGGAATGGTAGGGCTGCTAGTAGAGAATATCGCAGGAGATTTCCTAATTGTCGAACTCCCAGTCATCCAACATTTGGGTCAGTTTTTAATTATTTGCAAGAAAATGGCACTTTTCCTAGTGGAACAACAGAGCGACATGTAGATGAAGCGCAGGAAGATGACATTATGGACGCCGTTACTATGAACCCTACAATAAACACTAGACAAGTAAGTCGAGAACTCAATGCTACTCAATCAAACGTAGTTTTACAAAAAAATAATCTATACCCATATCACATTCAAATGGTTCAGCGACTACATGCTGGCGATGAGATCGATAGGTTGGATTTTGTAGATGGATTAACAATAATCGACCAACGCTATACAGGACACTATTTACAGATAAAGCCCAATTTACCAGAGACGGGATAAATAATTCACGAAATTCACATGTGTGGGCAGAATAAAATCCCCATGCTATTCGAGAACGTCGTTCTCAGTTAAGGTTTTCGGTTAACGTGTGGATTGGTGTCATAAATAACCAATTAGTAGGTCCTCATTTTTTTGATGGTCCTTTAACAGGACAGGTCTATTTGAACTTTCTACAAAATATTTTGCCGAATTTGCTTGCCAACGCGAACGTTGCTATCCGAGGGATGTATTTTCAGCATGATGGAGTACCCCCACACTTTTTACTGGCAGTGAGAAAACATCTCAATAATGTTTATGGCAACAGGTGGATAGGACGTGCAGGTCCCATTTCGTGGCCTTCAAGATCTTCTGATTTCAATCCCGTTGATTACCATATTTGGGGACGATTGAAGCAACTAGTTTACGCAGTGAATATTAATAACCGACAACAATTAATTGATAGAATTATACATTGTTGTAATACTATTAGAAACGATCCCCAGAGTATCCGTAATTGAATACGTCAATTAACAATTCGGCAACAAAAATGTGTACAGGCTGCAGGGTTCCATTTCGTAAATCTATTTTGAATTATTTTTATTTTGTTACCATTATTGTATCTTTTCCAATTCTAATTTATGGGTTTATCATAACTATGTACATATTTTTAGTTTTTTTTTAAATTGTTCTTCGTTATTGTTAGTAGTTACTGTTTTTTGTTGTGCAGTGACTCAGTTTACCATTTCAATTAAATGTTTGAAATTTATAACATTTGTTTAAATTAATTACCTTATAATTGATACTTCATTATGGTTGTTCTATTTTTGGTAAGATTTTATCGTTCACTAAAAATTTAATAAAAGTTCGACAACACTGTCGCATATGTCGTTTTTATTGGCTATTAATGTAGTTTGAAATCACTTATTGCATTTAAAAAAATATATATATATACAGGGTGTAATATTTAATACGAATCCCTAAATTAATTTTTCCAAAGCCAGTCCTGGAATTTTTTAGTTTAGCTAATACCAGTAGAATGCTTGATAGTAGTGTACTGTATCATGCAAAAATTAAAAAAAAATAAATGAGCCGTATAAACACTACAGTAAAATGAAATAAATGGTCAATTACACAAATCACTCTGTTAATTAATGAAGAAGAGGAGTTAACATTTTTTAGTGGCCACATGATATGCTCCCTGAGAGACTCTACATATGGTAGAAGTATGTAAAGTTCCTCATGACTCACCCTGTATAGTCAGAAGGTGCTTTATTGCTGACTTAATAATTATAAAAAACTAATCTTTAAAAATTTGTCGAAGCTAAAAAGTTTAAAAATATTTTTTATATATAATTAATGGATTGTTCCTGTTAATTTATAACAACATGTAAAAAAACACTACATTGTTATACGATAGTCGCTGTTTTAATAAAAAAGTAACAAAATCTTAGCCAAACTTCTCAAAGTTCTAATATTCTGCTCAACTTTACCTAGTTAGTTTAAATTTCAGAATTTATCGAAATCTAATATTAATGGCTTGTTTATTAGGTTGTGCCAATAGGAGTTAGACATGTACTAAAGTGGGTCAAGGACAAATATGATGATCCAGAAATTTTCATTACCGAAAATGGTTTCTCTGACAAGGGAGAAATAAATGATGTTAAGAGAATACAGTATCTCCAGGTAAGGTTCTATTTAAATTTGGGATTTCCACAAGTTTAGATATGAATTTAGATAAGTTTGTTGTGTACGGGAGACTTTTTTCTCGCGTAAATAAAAGCATACATAAAAACATAAGCAGGTTAATGATCTGTGATAATGAATCTTTATTATAGTAGAAATAATAGTATTCTAGTCTAGAATATCTGCAAAATAGGCATATCTCCAATTAGACCAATAGAGACAAAGATATGAAAAATGAACAGAATAAAAACTTAGATTTTCATGGAGGCGCCGATGTTAATTTTTATAGGCGTATCCACCAAATCACAGATTTTGTGGCTTTAGACACATACCCTATTTACTAATAAAACAGATGGGAAAGGAATTAGAAGCCACACTCATTAATTGTTGCGTTTTTTATAATGCTGTCTTCAAATTTTTAACCCATTGAGCCACCCTTGGCCACTCTGAAGCGCTTTTCCTGCTTAACCATAGATTGCCTCCGTTACACGGTAGTCGCTTGTTGCCACGCATGCGTAAATTTTACGTGTAATGGTTACAAATGGAAAACAGTTTGTTTTAAGATTAATTAAAAAAAAATAAACAATTACTTCTTGCAAATAAAAACCTACAAATGTTGTGTAAGCATTAATCCAGCATTGATTGTTTTTGCTTGTAAGTTTACACCATTATTTTTTTGTACTTAAGAGTGTAGGAGAAAATTTCGGGCCATTGTTTTTTAAATGCATTTATTTTTTTCGAATCCTGAGAAAACTAATAAGTATTTTTGAAAAATTTAAACGCAGAATGAAAGATTACGTTATTATCGAAGGCCAAAAGTCCCTGAAAACTTCTATAAAGTTAATTTTAGTAAGTTACAGGGGTAAAAAAGAAGAGGAAATTAAGTGTAAATGTTAAATTCAAGAAACTTTTTGTTTATTGTAAAGGACTTTTACTCCTCGGCAATAATGTAGTCTTTTACTCTGCGTTTAAATTTTTTAAAAATGTTAATTAGTTTTTTTAATTTTTTAATATTTATTTCAAAAGCATTGGCCCAAAACGAAACTAATTTTGAATGGGTTGAAGTCAATAAAATGAGCTCTTAAAAATTACTTGAGCTTTCAATTGTGGTGAAAATTATTTTCAATAGCTACAATATAAATTATCTGATAAAGAGGAAAAAATAATTACAAAAAAGGAGTAACTCATCAGATAAAATTAGGTTTTGTTAATGAAACCTAATTTTATCTGATATGCTAATACTTTTTTTTGCAGTTATCTGTTTCACTTTATCAGATAATTTTTATTTTCGCTCTTGAAAAAAATTGTAATCACAACCAGAAGTTCAAGCACTTAAAAAATAGTTTTCTAAATTAGTTCCCAAAAATTAGTTTTGTTTTTTACAAACGAGTAAATGTTTTATTAATTTTTTATTATTATTAATTGGAAGAAATACCTGAAGGAAGTTTCCATTTCTATTCAAGAAGACGGAGTAAAATTAAAGGGGTATACGGTTTGGAGTTTCTTAGATAGCTTCCAATGGACAGAAGGTTACAGGTATGATATTAATTTTGTTACTGCTAGAACTTGGAAACAAAAATCAAATTCTAAAAATTTGCAAAAATATAATAAAAATATTACATTATTCCTTTGGTGTTGACTTTTGACTCTTTAATTATTTTCTCTAATGTGATGGTAAATAGAATACAAGATAGGGCATCTCCCTGTCATAGGCCCGTTCTCACATGGATTGTATCTGTAAGTACGTTTGGAATTCGAATTTGGCTTTATACTTCAAGTGTTTATTTTACTATATCAATGAGTTGACTTGGAATATTAAACTCTTTTAGTGCATGAATCAGAAATTTTTGATGGATACTCTCAAAATCAATAAAAAGATGGTGTGTCTATGTTAAATTCACTAGTCATTTCCATGATTTTCCTCAAGACGAAGATCTGATTTATTGTGGATTTCTGTCAGCATAAACCACATCGATATCCCCCCAACTATTTGTTCCTCATATGGTCTGAATCGGTCATACGCAATATTTGACAGTATTTGTGGCAGTTTTTTATTATTTAATATGTTCACTATTAGTTCGTGTATCGCATTCAACATTTCTTCACCTTCCTTTATTAATTTTGTGCTAATGTTGTCTAATCCAGGTGACTTGTTGTTTTTCAGTCTGGTAATTGCTTCTTGTATTTCAGCTACCGAAGGAAGGTTGTTTCTCTGGTATCCGTTTGATCCATTATATAGTGGATCTTCGTTTCAAACGTTTCTTTAAAGAATTCTGTCCATCTTTGTAGTATTCACTCTGTTAAGTTATTATATCTCCTTCTTTGTCTCTGCACATCATTGTTCTTGGTTTCTAAGAGTTTATTTAGTTTTTTCATTTCTTAGAGTTCATTTTCTATGTGTTCTCTTTTTCTGCAATGTATTTTCTTCTCTTCCCTCCTTAGCATTCTATACTTTTCCTCTGTTTTTCGTGTTCTATGTCGTTGTTGCATTTTTCCTCTCTGTTATATTACGACACTTTTCATCGAATGATTTGAGCTTTTTCTGTAGACTCAGGGTCTCTTTTGCAGCGTCTTGTATGATGTTTTTACACGCTTCTTATTCTCTGTTTATATTATTGTGCTTTTGTCTGTTTTCTAGCCTTCCTTTTATATATTCTTATATTTTGCCTTTTTGCTGTTGTCTGTTAAGTTTTTTATTTTATATTTTTTTAAATTTTGGATCCCTTTTCTTTTTTAATGTTCACATCGATCATGTTTACTGTAACCCCATCTGGAGATCTCCACGTTCCGTTATGAATATTTTTTCGCTGGAAGCATATGTTGGCAATGACCATGTTAAGGAAACTTGCTAGATTTATTAGTCTGATGCCAATGTCATTGGAACCTCATGAAGGCTGGGCTTACCTATAGTTGGTAGGTATTATTGCTCTTTTCTTATTTTTGAGTTGAAATCACAATAAATAATTTTAATGTCATTCTTTAAGCATGAAGGGTGTGCAGCTTCTAGTTCTTCATAGAATTTTTCTTTGATTTCTTTCTTTTCCTCTGTAGGGGCATGCACATTTAAGATGCTATAATTAAAAAATGTTCCCCTTAATCTCAGGATGCACATTCTAGAGTTCATAGGTGTTTAACCTTTTTATTTACAATGCAGCTAATGAAGTCAATATATCTTAGGTCTCAAAAGATAATGGAAATTTGTGACGAACGAATTTATAGATAATAATACAAAAATATTGAGAACCAAAGTAATTACTTACGAAGGATGATTCTAGATTTCTCGTTCTCACCGACACAAAACACAAGCGACGATAATAGCAATGTTGTAAATGGAGGCCCAAGAGTGGCAGTTTAGATTTCGTTTTAAACAGGCTACATCTGTTACACATTAGAAGAACTAGAAGCCATTAGTCAACTAGCCCCGGTCTCCCCTACTGCTCTTATAAAATATTTTTAGATTCTATTCAAGAGTTGCCGCTATTTGTTAAACTTATTATTAAAGCATAAAAACAACATTTGACCAATGCACGTTTTATTTTCGTCATAACAGAATTATCCTTCTTTTATATGTTTTATATGTATTTTTATTATTTCGGAGCCGAGTTTGAATGAATCAGATATGAGTTTGAAAAGTAAATTTGGCTATTCATTTTTGGCAGTCGTTTTAAAATACATAGTTGGGGATATTATTTTTCATTTTAAAGAAAGACGATATTTAGTATGTTCTTATATATGTCAATCTAAGTAGTTTTGATTTGACTTGAAGTTTATGTAGGAAATGGTAGTATCAAAAGCACTATTTTTAATAGATAGGAGGAAAAATATGATCTTTTTTTACAATATATGCTCGTGTATATTGTGATTATTAACAAGTATGGATTCTGGGGGGGGGGGTGGGAACAAAGACGGGAAAAGATTACCCGACGACACTTTACATACTATCTATCCTACTATCTGATGTGAAAGACTTACTGAACTTGAGAGCGAACTAGAAAACATAAAGTGGGACATAATATAGGTCTCAGCAAGGTCAGAAGACGTGGCGAAGAGTTAATTAAACTAAAATCAGGACATAGTTTTAACCACGTAGGTGATGATAATAATTCTTTGGGAGAAACCAGCTTCATTATACATAATGTTTCCAAACGATTATAATATCACTAAAGAAATTTTCCACAAAAGTGATTTGTCTTTCCCTCACTATACTATGATGATATCGAAGATGCTTTTAAAGACCAACAAAGACATTTTACTTTTATATGTGGTGATTTTAACACCAAAACAGAAATGAAATCCAACCCTACAGAAACACCACTGGGAAACTTTGGCTTGGATGGTAGAAATGAACGTGGCGCAATATTGTTAAGGTTCATTCTGTAACGTGAACCATTCTAAATGAACAGTTTAAAAAAAAACTACAGAGAAGATGGATATGGCAAAGTCCTAATGGAAAAAACGAAATAGATTTTATTATCACGGACAAAAAAAAACACACCGTTAAAGACATCACGGTTCTAAACAGATTTGTTACCAATAACGATTATACAATGATATGAGGTAAAATAGAAATAAGTTTAAAGAAGGAGAGGTATCTTCTTCTTCGCGTGCCATGTCAGAATTATCCGACGTTCACCGATCACCATTACGAATGGCGATCACCATTACGAAGGCTTCTCGATCTTCTGTAATATGGAATAATTGTCTTGCATTGAATAATTGTATCTGAGTCCATTCACGAATGTTTTTTAAACCAAGAAACTTAGTTTTATTTCTACACCTCTACGGCCCTCTATTTTGCCTTTAAGGATCAGTTGTAAAATTTTATATCGACTTCTCCTTACTATATGTCCCACATAAGACATTTTCGATGTTTAACAGTCTTTAGCAATTCTCTGTCTTTTTTTGATGTTCGTTAGTACTTCTTCATTAGTTTTTCTTGCTGTCCAAGGTATCTTCAGCATTCGTCTATGAACCCACATTTCCAATGCTTTAATTTTGTTTATGATCGATACTTTTATCCTCCAGACTTCTGCACTATACAAAGTACAGACCAAACATAGCACTTAACTTTCTTTGCCTTAGTTCTAAACTGAGATGGTTATTGCAAAGAAATGACTTCATTTTCATAAAAGTAGTTTTAGTCATTGCTATTCTACGTTTTATTTCTATGTCTGGATCTAGTTGGTCCGTTGTCACAGTTCTCAAATATGTCATTTTGTGAACTTTCTTAACTTGGACTCCGTTCAATTGAAGCTTTGCATCGTGATGTGAGTCACGACTAAACACTAAAATTTGGTTTTGTTTGAGTTTATTTTAATGCCCATTTCCTCTCCTACCTCGTGAATACGATCAAGCAGAGTTTGAAGACCTTTAATATTATCTGATAGAATTACTGTAACGTCTGCATATGTAATCACATTAAGTAGTTCCCCGTTAATTTTTATTCCATATGGTTGTCTCTCAAGTGCCTTTTTAAATAACTGGTCAGAGTAAACATTGAACAATGTTGGCGACAAAATGCAACCTTGTCTGACTCCTCGTTGTATGGGGATTTCAACGGTGTAGGTATCTCCAATTTTGACGATAGCAGTTTGATTCCAGTACAAATTTTTAATGACACAAATATCCTTATCATCTATTGCGATATTTTTCAGTATTTGCACTAATTTTACACGCTTTAAAATTAGTGCAATTAGGTCGCGGCATTTTTGTAATAGGATATTAAGCGCAAAAATGTTATAGGAACCTACCTGGTTCCTATAACATTTCTAAAACCAAATTGGGTATCTTCAAGATCTTCGCTTCTTCTCTTCAAGGACAGGTATAAGATGATTAAAAAGAAGAACAAATTAAAACCATGGATGAAACCATCAGATGTAGATAGTTTTCAGCAATGTATTTTCGACATACTTAGTAGTCTTGAAATAGAAAATAATATAAACAACTTAAATAATAAATTAACTAATGCTTTAATGAAAAAGTCAAAACAAATTCTGTCCTTGAACTCAAAAAGAAAAGAAGATTAGCCAAAATACTAGGCAACTAATGCAAAAAACAAGAGAAACAGAAAACGAGACGAAAACTAAAGTCGACGAACTACAAAAATTAAATAAAGAAATATCCAAAGATATTAGACAAGACAAGACATTCGAAAATACAACCAAGAACAAATCGAACGTACCATTGAGAACAATAGAAGTATGAAAGTATTGAGAAAAAGACTAAAAACGGGGTCAAGGCAGATAATAAGGATTAAACATAAAAATGGTCATCTGACAACCAACAGAAAGGAAACCCTTAAAATAATTAAAGACTTCTACAAATTGCCGTAAAAAAGCCAACACAAACAAAATAGCAGAGAAGATCAAGGATTCCAAAAATATTAACAAGGAAAAAGGGCATTGTCAACCAAGGATCAGAACTACTACCGGAAATCACAATGGACGAAATAAAACTTGCCCTAAGAAAAGTTAAAAATAACAATTTTCCAGGCGAAGAATCTGTAGTTACTGATGCAATTAAAATCGGAGGCACTTGGCTACTGAAGAAAATAAAAAAACCTTTATAACATGTGACTTTTGAACAGTAATATACTCGACAAATGGCACAATGCTAAGGTAATTCTATTGTACAAAAAAGGAGATCCCTATAAATTAGAAAACTACCAACCTATAAGTCTTCTTATTCACCTATACAAACTCCTTACAGGAATAGTCACGAATCCTATTGAGAAAAAACTTGATTTCTACCAGCCAATAGAGCAAGTGGGATTTCGTACCGGATTTGAAACAAATGATCACATACAGAGCATTAAAACGGTAATATAAAAGACTATCGAATGCAATCGACTATTCGTTCTGGCTTTTGTAGATTTCCATAAAGCCTTTGACACGGTAGAATTTTAAAAATCCTGAAAGCACTACAAGCGTGCAGTATTTATTACCGATATGTAAGGTTATTTTACAATACATACAAAAACGCAACGATGTCGGTGAAACTACATGAAAACAGGGATCATATCCAAATCGGCAGAGGAGTCAGACTGAGTGATACCTTATCGCCTAAACTGTTTTCCGCAGTACTAGAATATGCTTGTAAAAAACTTAACTGTGAAGAGAAAGACCTGAACATTGACGGTAGAAGGTTAATAAATTTAAAATTCGCAAACGACATAGCTTTGTTGTCGGAGAACCTCAAGGAGATATGTACAATGCTACATAACATTCAGTAAGTGTGTGTCAGTGTGGGTCTTAAATAAACACCTTCACAACAAAATTTATGACAAACCTAATACCTATAGGAAATTGGAGACAACGAAGTAGAGCTGGTGGAAAAGTACATATATGTTGGACACGAAATAAAGATCACAAGAGACAACCAAACATGCGAACTACGAAGAAGAATAAACCTAGCATGGACAGCCTATGGAAAACTTAAAGACATTTTAAAAGTGATATACCAATTTTTTGAAAACGTAAAACATTTGACCCAATGTGTGTTGCTTGTGATGATCTATAGTGCCGAAACTTTGACATTGACAGCTATAAGTTCTAAAACGCTGTAAATAGCTCAGAGGAAAATGGAAAGGTCAATGCTGAGTATATAAATTCGTGACCGAGTTATAAATAAAGACTTAAGACAAAAAACAGAAGTTAACGAAGTTATTTCCGAATTGCCACACCGAAATGGAACTGGGCCGGACACGTCGCTCAAATCAGTAATAAAAGGTGAACGAAGAGATTGCTTGATTAGAAGCCGAGGTTAGACAAAAGAGGTAGAGAAAGAGCCCCTACTCGTTGGACTGACGATCTCAAGAAACTATCAAGAAATTGGATAAAAAGTGATCAAGATAGAGCACAATGGACAAAAATGAGCGAGGCCTATGTCCAGCGATGAACGCAAATGGCTGGGTGATGATAATGATATATAGTAATATTATACTGGTAATGCTAGGTTAAAAATTAAAAATCTACAAATATTTGTAAACAACTTATTATTAATTTAAATAATATTGCAAGCATCATAAAATCTACTTTGTTTTGCTATTATTACAAATTAAAAAAAACACTAAATGTTTAGAAACCGTTTGTAAAATAACTTGTTTTTACAAATATAATTGAAAAATTTATTGCATATATCCAGTTTTTTTTATTAAATAATCGACAAATTCAAACTAAATAACAATTATAAACTTCCAGGGAGAAATTTGGTTTGTATCATGTTAACTTTTCGGATAAAAATAGAAAAAGGACTCCGAAGTTGTCGGCTACTTGGTATAAAAAAGTGATAAAAGAAAGACGAGTAGTAGACTGGAAAGAGGTGACGAGTAATCTCGAAGAGGATTTATAAAAGGATTTTTGTGTCCTTCTCCGAACACGTGCTTCGCACTTAAGGTAGGTTAGGAATCGGAAATATTATCGAGGACAAGTCGTGGTAGTATCACAGGTTATAGTTGTAAAGAGATCGGGGACGAGCTGGATATTTTTTTTTGTTTCAGTAATAGTAAGTGATAAACATATTGTTATCAAATTGTGTTGTTTATTATTTTGTCACATATTAATATACACAGTATATAGAGGCAAATTTTTAAATCACCTTATCCCAAATAAATTCCTAAAACAATCATAGTACTTTAAATATGGCATCCTAATTTGAGTTAATTTCAAATATCTTCTGAACAATTGTCTTACAAGAAATATTTTTTCAGTAACTTCATGAAGTAAATATTCTCTTCCTTGGTGTAAACACTTTTGTGCAATTATTGTTACAAGCGAAGGGAGAGTGGTATGTTTTTATCCAGTTGTTTCATGAAAATACCATTTTTTTAGCAAATCCAAACAGGACATGAAATTGTTTAAACAACGGTCTGAAATTAAACAGATATCATTTTATTTACTTCTTATTTGCATGTATAAAGTGAATTGTGTGAAACGCCACTCAAAAATACTACGAACAAAACTTTGCAAGAATTAAAATGGGACAAGAAATCACCTCTCCTTTTCAAATAACTAAGGGACAAGGCTGCTGACTGTCACCTACCTTATTTTAAAATCTATTTGGACAGATCCTTAGTGAAATCGATAAAAAAATGTAGAAACATGGGAATAACGGTATAAGAAAACACGCTATATACACTTTTCTTTGCGGATGACCAGGTAGTAATTGCCGAAGATAGCTACGATCTTAGCTATATGGTAAGGAAACTGCAAGAAGAATATGAGGTGGCAGGTCTAAACATGAATATGACAAAATGTGAATATCTATCAGTGGGAACAGATGAAATATGTGACCTAGTCTTAGAAGACGACAAAATCAAAGGCGTACAATCCTGCAAATATTTTGGGGGTCATTTTTAATAAGAAGGGAAACAGCGCAGATGAAATCAGGGAAAGAATAAACAAGGGTAGAGCAGCGACCCGTGCCTTAAACTCTCTTCTCTGGCAAAAAACAATTCGACGAGAAACCAAAAAACACATTTACGGTAGTATAGTTCAAAGTATTACACTTTACGATTCGGAAGTATGGGATGCCACCAAAGCTAATAAAAACAAACTTATGACGACAGAAATGGATTATCTAAGACGAAGCTGCGGTAGATCTAAACTAGAAAGAGTTGGGAACGAACAAATAAGAAACGAAATAAAAATGGAGCGAAATATCAATGATGACATAGAAAGAAAACAAGTAATCTAGTTCGGACATGTTAGAAGAATGCCAGAGTACAGAAGGTCTAAAAGAGTACTGGAATAGATCCCTCCTGAAAGAAGAAAGAGAGGACGACCACGGAGAAATTGCGCGAACGATATTCATGAAGCAATGGCGGCAAGAGACTTAGAAGAGGCAACTGCGTATGACAGAAAAAGGTGGAAATTGGGGGCGGAGAAGCGGTAACACCCGTAATCAATCCGTTATTATATTATATATATAAAAGTGAATTGTTACATACTTGTTTGACTAAAAAAATCACGGTAAGATAAAATCAATGAAAAAACTAATATTAATCTCTTTATTTTGATATATATTCATCAGTTATTATTAATTAGTACCTAATCAAAGAAACATACTTTGTTAAAATATTGTATAAACCACTTACAATTATCTTCACCTAAAATGCTTGAAAAACTTAGTATTGTAACTCGACCTAAATCAGCACCAGTAATTTTTACAACAATGCGGTAGGTAAAAGTAAAACACTGAGAAAAAGTTATAAAATATGAACTAACAAAACTACAAACAATATTAAAACTGACGAAGTAAAAAAATAAAATGTAAAAATTTTGTAAAATCGCTCTCATCTAAACTAAAGAAAAGCGAGTTACAACTTTTTCCATATCAGGTGTCGATATAATATATAAGTCTATTGTTTAATATTTTGTGAATTATATACAGGGTGTTCCAAAAAGGTATGTTATAAATTAAATCACACATTCCGGGGACCGAAAAAAATTAATTCAATCTAACTTACCTCTGTACAAAAGTGTAATATGTTACAGCCTTTGAAGTTGCAAAATAAAATTGTTTTTTTTTTTTAATTACCTTCTAAACTACTTGACATTTTGTAATAAAAATGGACACGTTTACTTTCTTGTTCTGAAAGCATTATTCACACAATAGAAACAACAATTCTGAAAGCATTATTCATACAATAGAAACAACAAAATCTAAGGGCACAGAATTTTAAATCTTGCGTCAAAATTTAAAATTGTGCTGCGCTAAATCCCCTCAAACTTTTGAGTACGTTTAAATCAAATAAATTTTGTGGCATTATTAGTTTAACACATTATTTTTAAAACTTTTATGCTTTTTTTTTTATTGAGTTTAATGTGTCGACAACCAATGGTCATTGACATGGTACAGTGAATTTTTACAGTCAGTTACCTAGTGTGGTGTGTGTAGGTGTAGAGTAATTGTTTTGATACTTAGCAAAGTCGACGTCATTGTCTTTGCTAAGAGACGCTAATTGTATCAGAACGTCTGCGGTTCCTCCGGTGAGAACCGATCGCACAAGGATAGAAACTTATTTTCATTCATTAATTTTTAATAAACGAAAATTTATCCACTCAGGTGAAATTCGAAATCACGACTTTACGTTCAAAGGTAGGCGGTCTTACCACTGAGCCACAAAGGGGGTTATTGGATATAAAAATTGGTCGAGTTGCCTGTTAGTTCCTTATTCAGTCCTTATAGTAAGAAAATAATGTACTTGCATTTTGACTTACCCTGTATTTGATTTAACAAATATTATAAAAAAATATATTTTAAAATTTTTAACAATTATAAAAAAACTATGGTTGCGATAGATCAATGTTCCTATACTCCTTTTTTAATTATACAGGAGTTAAACTTGATACGATTTTCAGGTAATATTGGTTATACCTTTTTAAATACTTGGTATAACATAATAAAACTTTACATTGTTGTAATGTGGAAGTGAAGCAGATGTAAAATAAAATACAGGGTATTCTATTTAAAAAAACATAAGTTTAGTATGCCACCTTCTTATGAAAGACCCTGTAAGATTGTAACTAATTTTAAAATGTGGAGTTTAAAGCTGCCTGCAAGTTTTGTTAATAACTTTTTTCTGTAATTTTTACTATAACAGATGTACTGAGCTTCCTCACACTACTCAATCACCCTGTATATATGTAACAAAGATATTGTTGATTGATTTCCGAAAAGTGAAAAGTTAAAAATATTGCAAAAAATCTTTTAATACAATATAAATGTGTACCCTCTCAAGTGGTAGAGTAAGGTAAGTACAAAATTTTAAATATAAATATTATGTATACATTTTAGAATATAAATTCAAAAGGAATATTTTAATTTAAATTATTGTATAAATTTTTATATCGAAACATATTTGTTGCTCACAAAAATTAGATGAGTTCATCTTGAAATATATTTTTCTAAATTAAATAATTTCTACTATAGAAAGTCATTCATATTAAAATAATTTATAAACGGTATGTGAACAAGTATGTGAACTTCACATACTTGTTATTTTTCTTTAAATAATTATTTTATATAAATTTCTTTCGATTTTATTTATCATAAAATTATTTAACGATCTCTTTATTATATTTACGATTAAATTTTTATTTACTAAATATTCTGTCATAAACTAAATTCTAACGCAACGGCTACAGTAAATGGCAGAGATGAGAGCACGGAGAAAAATTACAGGAAACAAGCAGAGATTAAAAGATAAGTAAAGACATTAGAAGAAAATGTAACGTACAGTGTAAAAGAATGGACCCAAAATAAAAAAAAATGAAATAACCACATAAGCAGAATAGAGGAGACCATTGTCATCAACATAGCAAGAGATAAGTCACCAATCGACAGAAGAAGTATCGGACAACTGCGCAAAAGATAGAGTGACAACCTTTTATAGAGGTACTAATATCATCATTATCTAGCCTCAACAGTCCACTGCTGAACATAGGCCTCTTCCTCATGTTTCCAACCCCGTCTATCTTGCGCCGCTCTTATCCAGTTTTTATTGAGTCTTCTTAAATCGTCAGTCCATCTTGTAATTGGTCGACCGACGCTTCTCTTGTCTTCCCTTGGCCTCCATTCCCATAACCTCTTTGTCCATCGCCCATCTGTCATTCTTGCTATGTGTCCTGCCCATCTCCATTTTAGTCTGGCTATCTTCTCGATGATGTCAGTCACTCCGGTTCTTCTGCTGATGTCTTCGTTTGTTATTCTGTCTCGAAGAGTTATTCCTAACATGGACCGCTCCATTCCTCTCTGCGTGACTCTTAGTTTGGTAGCTGCTGCTTTTCTTAAGGTAAGTGTTTCTGCTCCGTACGTCAAGACTAGGAGGACGCACTAATCAAATACCTTTCTCTTTAGGCATTTGGGCAGCTCACTTTTAAAAGTTTCTCTCAGTTTTCCAAATGCTGCCCACCCAAGGCCGACTCTTCTCTTCAGTTCATGAGTCTGGTTATCTCTGCCAATCATAATTTCATGTCCCAGGTATTTATATCTATCTACGAGTTCTATTTCTTTCCCACCAATACTGATGTTCTGGTTGGGCACCAAATTGGTCATGATTTTTGTTTTCGAGATATTTATATTTAAACCTACATTTTCTGTAGCCACAACGAGTTCCTGTACCATCTCTCTTGCCATACCTAGATCTTCAGCTATTATCAATATATCATCGGCGAAACGTAAGTTGTTTAGATATTCTCCATCTTTTTTTATTCCCTTTGTCATCCAATCCAAATTCTTAAAAGCATGTTCTAGCACCGTATTAAAAAGTTTAGGTGACATTGGGTCTCCTTGTCTAACCCCCCGTTTTATTTTTATGCGATTACTGTTAATATGTAATTTGACAGTGGTTGTTGCCTGCAGGTATATTTTGTATAAAAATTTAGTATATCTATAATCTAGCCTGCATTCTTTAAGCGCCTGTAATATTTTGCTTAGCTCAACTGTGTCAAAGGCTTTGTGAAAATCGATAAATATTAGAACTAGAGGTTTATTGTATTCCACTGCTTTCTCTAATACATCCACTTTAATACAATTTAATTTTTTCAAGTAATACATCCCCTCCAATTTTTAGTGCTT